GCTGCCCTGTCACTTTTAGATCCTAGGAAATACTTATATTTGTTAAAAAAACCCACTGGAACTGAAGAACAAACACTAGAGTCAATTCTAGCTGTCTTAAATTTTCTAAAAACAGTGTCATGTCAAAATCCACATTCCCAGTTACATCTGAGTTGACAGTGTCCCTCTTTCAGAAAACAATCTCTCTGTAGCGACGCTAATCTCTTTCCACATGCCATTTTAGCCTAAGCACATTTTTGACTCAAAACAATACGGAAAGATAATGGTTATGTAAAAACCCGCAAAAATGTGTTAATAATAAATAAGCCAAAAGGCATATAAAACAAAAAGCCAAACACTGGATACAAGAGATAGAAATCACATTTTTTTCCGTAAATATAATTTCAGTGCAAAAGCCTGTGTTAGTAGGCATGCCAGTCTGAAAAATAAACCCAGTGTTCTGATTAAACACGCAGCATATTTTCATGTGAGGTTATGAACAATGCGCTTTTACGCATTTCTGGTGGAGAAACACCATCTCTGCTCTGTGAGAGGTTCAGCAAAAAGCATCTGTGCTTCTCTTCTCTCTGACAGCACTGCTAAGTAAAGGGGACAGCAAAGGGTTAAAGTCTCCTCTCTGCAGAAGCCTTCATCGCTTGAGTGGGGTTGCATTTTTTTGCTTCCTCTTTCGTAGGTGGCAAATGAATTCACAATATTTGATTCAATGCACAGTGGGGATCTGAAGAAGAGAGGTCAGACAGGTTGAATTTCCAGCAATTTGGACAACTTAGCACGTTAGCCCTGGACTGACATGAACATTTAGCAACCAGAATCCCCAAAGATCTCTGTGTTTCATGTACACTGATAACTCACTATGCAGTGTCAAAGGGGCACTGCTGCAACTCACATCACGATTTTGCTCAGAGCTTGAGAATGACATGCTCATCTATTTAATATCTGCTCAAAACAACGCATCTCCCTCAAAATAAAGAACATTGTGTAAACTCTTAGGTGGGCCGAAAGCTCTTCTAGCACTGCAAGGGGCACGACTGTACAGCCTCCCACCTGAAAACAGGCAGCACGTCTAGTATGGCAGAATCATAGAATGGTTTGGGTTGGAAGGGACCTTAAAGCTCATCCAGTTCCAACCCCCCTGCCAGCAGCAGGGACACCTTCCACTAGACCAGGTTGCTCAAAGCCTCATCCAGCCTGGCCTTCAACACTTCGAGCGAGGGGGCATCCACAACTTCCCTGGGCAACCTGTTCCAGTGTCTGACCACCCTCACAGTGAAGAACTTCTTCCTAATTTCTAATCTAAACCTCCCCTCTTTCAGCTTAAACCCATTTCCCCTTGTTTTGTCATTAACTGCCCTTATGAAAAGTCCTTCCCCAGCTTTCTTGTAGCCCCTTCAGGTACTGGGAGGCCGCTATAAGATCTCCCCGGAGCCTTCTCTTTTCCAGGCTGAACAGCCCCAACTTTCTCAGCCTGCCTTCATAGGAGAGGTGCTCCAGCCCTTGGATCATCCTGGTGGCCTCCTCTGGACTTGTTCTAGCTGCTCCAGGTCTCTCTTGTGTTGGGAGCTCCAGAACTGGACTCAATTTGTATATGAAGAAATGTAGAAGCACATTTGTATGTCCCATTAGATAAACATTCTCGTTGATCAGACAATGCCTAATTAACATTTGCAATGGGAAAGAGAACAGAAAGCACCATGTGAAAGCATGGCTGATCCCTTTGCATGTTACTGGAGAAAACTATGCAACTTAGATATGAAGAGGGAACTACTGAAGGGTCTTGAGATATTTATCACCATATGTGAGACCATCTCACTTGAGAACTGTCCAACTTCTATTTTCTTATTTAGTTCCTAAGATCAAAACTAATTCTTCCATGGAGTAAATGAAAACATTTACTTTCCTGATGATGAGCAAGGACTCATCCATCTAACAGGTTAATGTTAATCCAAAACCAGTCACCTCGATGTATCTCAAACCAATAAAACTATGAGGAGTGCACACACCTAAACAGACTTGCATTGATGTTACAGCACGAGATCCTAAGTTATACATCTTGGAGGTCACAGATTACAACAATGGGCTATGATTAAGCCAATTATCATATACTCATGCTGTTAATTAGTTCATTTTTTAAAATTTTAGTATATTAAAATGTAGATGTAGTGGCCAAGCAAATTAAAAAGGAATGTCAAGAGGTACAGTCTGTGTAAAACTGAGCCTCCCTCAGTTTTAATTTCTGTTCTGCAAATTTGGAGCAGAATAGCTGCAGGATACCTGGTTTGATAAAGTTAAAATTCTGAGGGCTACAATTTTCTACTAGGGCATCTGAGTTGTCATTAAAAACAAACATGGAAGAAGAATTTTGGAGATGCAATCTGAAATATCCAGATAGGGTTGAATATTCACAGATTAACTATCTAGTTGGACCAGTGTCTGAGGTCCAAACACTGCCAAGCATTTAGGCACCTGACTCTGAAGGCAAAGGAGATTACATTCCTTTAAAAATTTGTGCCTTGATGCCTTTAAGGAAAAAGCTTACTGCACAGAAAGTTTCTGCAGTTTCTCAAAAATGTCAACGTTTTGGATTCATCTAATCTCTGAAATTCACCCTACAAGCAGATTGTATGGCATTTTTGAATATAGTTTGCCCGATATAATTACGTAGCTCAACTATCTCCAATGAAATGTTATAATGTAACTCTTTTATTAAATAAGAAAATAGACAGTAGACACATGTAATCATAAAAAGATTGAGCAGGCTAATTTCCCAAAGTTTATTTCCTTTTTGTAACAAATATTTACTGTCAAATGTTTATTACTTTTACATTTGGATTTTTTTAATACTTTATTGAATTAAAAATACCACATTACCATTGGCTAAAAGAGGAGACAGCTGTATTTGCCAATAATTTCTACAACTAATGCCAATGACTAGTGCCAATTTTTTTTGGTTCATATTTTTGTAGACAGCTTTGAGACTTACGATACAAGCATTCTGCAGATGAGGCATGAGAAACACAAAGGTGAAAAGGAACAAAAACTTCGAAGTTTGAAAAATTAAAGCTGATCATTTCCTCTAAAGAATTTCCTTCCATTGCCTTGAAACGCCAGTTCAGAGTAGCATAACAGGATGCAAATGTTTACTTAAATTAATGGCATGTGCAATAATTGATCCAAAGCTTCACAGTGTGAATCTGAACTCTTAACGCATATCTGTACCAGGAAAATATTTCTAAATAAGTGATTGCAAATTGGTTTTAATCTGCTGAAGTTCTAGAAGGCTTTTCATCAGAAAGTACTAAAGTCCTTACACAACATGCTTTTCTTTGGGAGACACGGAAAAAAGGGGTGATGAAGGGAAAAAAGGGGTGATGAAGGGAAAAAAGGGGTGATGAAGGGAAAAAGCACCATTTTCTTCGTGTTGTAAAGATGTCAAGTAATAAGACTGGTGAAAAATCTTGGGAGACGCAAACACCTGCTGTCTGTGTCTTATAGAGAAGAACAGTGCTTCTTGGCTTGTTATTCTGGCAAGCAACTTGTCCCTGAAGCAATTCCAGACTGGACATGCAATTTCTGCATCAGAAATGTTGACCACCTACCAGTAGGCTGACATTCTCATTAAACACTGGACTATCCAGAAACAGAATGTTTTTTATTGCAACAAGGGAAATGGCAAGTATCTGTTCCAACACCAGTCAAGCTGGGTGACACCCACACAAGTGGAAGAACTTGAATCATCCTGAATATATCTGGGGTTTCCTTTACAGACCTATATTCTACCACTTTGCTTCCAGTACAGTAGTCCTGGTGGTCTGCATTTTCTTGATGGAGCTGGAAAATACGACCTACCCAGATTCTTTTCTTATTGTTTTATATTAGCTAGTTTCCAAATCCAAAACAAATAAAACAGCAAATGTGAAACTAAGAGCATGTTCCCAGGACTTGCATGTGTTCAACAGTTTTAGTAATTTGGCTCTTAGAAACCTCAGTTATCACTGATTATTATTTTCTTTGTTAACATTGATTTAAGATCCCAAGATTGTTCAGAATGGGAACAAGGGACAACTAGAAAATACAAATGGGTAGTTAATGACAGCAAGAAACCTGGCTGCTTCATTTCTGTCTATATAGGACAGAATGCTGCCAGCTGGTGTGGGTGACAGGACATAGTGCTTCATTACCTTCTTCTGAGGCCGTGCTGGAAGTAAGCATTTCTCCAGTCCCTATCTAAAGTGGGATGCAGACAAGCTCTGGTCAGAATGGAGACATCTAATTATGTGCAAGACCTTAGGAAAAGTTTAGCTGTCTAAATTCCAGAGAACAAGTCAGACAGGCTCATCTCAAATATAACCTACTTACAGAGACACCAAAAATCAGTGTTTCCATTTTGCCAATCAACCACAGGATGTAAGTCATGTTGCACCTAAATCCTGAATAAACATCATGTTGCTTAGAAAACACACAGGAAGAGACTTAATTCTGCACAAAGCTCTAAATGGCCTCATCAAACAAGCAGTCATTAATATTTCCTTGGCACATAGTTAGAGTCACCTCCTAAGAACATTGTAGTGGTCTGAAAGTGAAGTCTACTGAAAGATCCAGACAGTCATCTAAGATGACTTTGTGGAAGTAGGCAAGAACTCTTGTGAGAAGAGACTTTCCCTCAGCTGAACTTCCAGCAAAACAACCTCTACTGACTACTTCAGCAGAACAGTGTCAAAAGGAGCTGTCCCTAAATTAAGACCAAGTACAAACAAAAGTTCTTCTGCTCTAGGAGACTAACAAGAGCAGTGTGGAGAAAGGAGGATGGCTGCATAAGAAGGTGGTGTTGAGATGAAGGCCCACAGGAGTTTGACTACTGATTTTGTTTCAGTAGTGCTGAACACACTGAAAATCCCATGAAGTAGTTCTGAGGAAAGTACAGGCTCCTTTTCTTCCCCAGTGCTTGACAGTTTTATTTCCACTTCCCACCTTGTTTCCAGATACACGCCACGAGCTCTTACCTCCATATTCTTACAGAATGTAGCATTGGTCCCAAAAAGTATCTGGCACTGTTCATCGGCACTGTAGTGCATTCCAGGCAGCTTGTGAGGGAGCCGCACCGCGTATTGGCTTCGGGGGTCTGTTACCAGCAAACAGGTGCTGACCTTGGACCTGTGGAGTGTAAAAATTAAATATGCCTTTAAGGGAAAGCACCTTTGAACTGGAGTGTTAGATCACTGACACAGAGAAGCTGTTGTCCTCTCTTTACCAGGCAATCTGATGACCTCATGTGAAGCAGTGCTGATTTTTCCCAGTATATATCTAGAAGTCTTCTAAATAATTGGAAACTACGGATAGAAATGTCCTTGGGAACTCATCCCTGTCCCCAGGCCTCAAGGGACAATTGACTATATTCACATCATTCTGGGTTAAACATTTGTCTAAGCTATTCCTAAAAATCTGATGGAGACTCAATTCTACCCTCAGGCTATCTAGTCCAAAGCTTCAGGAGCCTTACAGTGACAGCTAGAAAGACTTCTATCATGTCTCACCTGAAACCCCCTAGCTGAATTTTAAGACCTTGACTTCTTTTCTTATCCATCACAGACATAAAGGAAAGATTTTTCCCTTTGTCTTCACAACAAGCTTTTACAAATTGGAGTATCACTTTGTCATCTCCTCTCTGTCAGGGACCAGAGTGAGTTCAGATGCAGCTTCTTTTTCAACTTCATGCCTTTAATGTACCAGTAGATCTGCCATTCTCTTTCATTATTTTCCTTTCTCTCCCAAATCTGACCCTCAGAGTGGGGAATTTTCCACACTGAACCCATTTCTAGCAACAAAAGCACTGGCCACTGTGCCAGACACTGTTTGTCAGAAAACTGCACTGTAGGTTTAAGATCACAATTACAGAGTTTGGACAATTCCAGTGCTTGCTACAGCACATGAAAGTTAACAAGCAGGAGGTCAGAAATCCTTCCTGAACTGTTGAACATGATGAACTGAAATACAGATGCAGTGGGAAAGAAGTTTATAGCGAATTGTTTAAGACCAACGCTCACTGAGGGGTGAGAAAACACATCAGAATTACCTCTAGGCAAAAGAAAAGTTTCCATAAAACACAAACTATTTAATAATAATAATGACAGGAAAAGCCACAGCACAGCTGGCAGTATCCTTCCATGGAGAAGATTTTTTTCAGGCCACCTACACACAGATTTCTGTCATCACAAACATGAGGGCATTTTTTTTTTGTAAAATTATGATTTGGGATCGGTTTTAAGAAGCTATCAGCACATTGACAACTAAACATAATTCTTCTGCCTCTCTGTAAACCTCAGTTTCAAAGGGGCTACTGAGAGACAGATTCAAACTTGCACACCCTAATGACACATGCAAACACTTTTTTTAAAGGAAAATTGTTTAAACTCTAACTTTCAAATAACACATCAGATTCTTGCCTGATAGGATTTTTGATAATCAGCACAATCCTTACTTTAGGAAGTTTTCAAGGTCATCGCGGCTGCATGAAGACCAGGAAAGGTCACTTGGGTTCCTGCCCTTCACCCATTCTCCAGACATAATATGAGACCTCCCTGCGCAGGGTTGATGATCATCATCATGGCTCATTCCCATGCTGTTTGGTTAAAACAAAACAAGACAAAAAAAACCTATCAAGTTATGATGTGGGTTTCTCATTTCCCGTTGGACTTAGCAGTGACGCTCTTAGCAATGAACAAGTCAAAACCAGGCTGCACATACAACACAACCATTCACCTACTGCTCTGGGCACCTGTTTAATGAAAAAACTATAGGTTCCTTCAATTTATCCATTGCCTTAATTCCACAAAGGTCTTAGTATTTTGTGTGTTTGAAACTTTTAAATGTGCTTCTTATGGACTTTCCTACCAGGAAATGTAACTACTTGAGGGTTCGTGAGATGTGAACATGGAGAAGTGATGTAGCACAGGCAAAGGAATCTGCTAGAATATCAAAGCTAATATTTATTGAAAATTTTTGATTTCTTTCACAAATCTAGTGGATATGGTCCCTATAATCATACTGAGATGAGCCAATTTTATTGTTGTGTCGGTGTGAATTTGGAATAACTCTCCTGTTAGGGAAAAAATTACTCTAGATTTGTGGTATTATACAATCTCTCTCTCACCTAACTTTGAAGCTGATCCTTCTTTCAGCAGTGGGTTGGATCGGACGACCTCCAGTGGCCCTTCCAACCTAAATTAGTCTATGACTCCACAACAGCAAGCCTCAGATAGGAGCCTGAGGCAGAATCAAGGCCTCATTTCTGCAAAGCACTGTCCAAACAAGCACCACCTCTGTACCATGCAACTCAGCAAGAACAGAATGTGACCTACTCAGTGAAACAAACCATCCAAACAAACAGCAGATTGTGTAGTATAAATGTACACGGAGGAATTCAAACACATTCAGATAGGATTTCAAAAAGTATTAATAAGTAGAAAAGCATTACTTTAACCTCCACCTACTTCTCACTCAGAGAAGTTGGATGGAGGTTAAACTACCATTCTACCATTAGTGGAGTCCCTATCATTGGGCTGCTACCATAAATCACTGTTCAGAATAAACCTCTGTGGCCACTACAGGAAGGTGAGACTCCTCTGCTGGAGGTAAGCCTTTGTGAAGAGCCTTCATATCAGTAAAATGTCAGAAGTCTTGACTGGCAGTCCCACATTCAGCCCATGATACCATGCTGCCTGGTAGAAAAAGTGAGTTAAGGGTTTCCATCCTACTTTGAAATGATCATTAAAATAATTTTTAAAGATCATACGGAATAGTAATATTAGGAAAGGTTAACATTCTTCCTTCGATTCCAACATGAAGTGGAAAATGGCTTTCAGACAAAAGGTGCTTTGTATGGCCAGTGTCACTTTCTAGCAAAATAAGTCACCATTTTGGGGTTGAAAACACAGATTAATAGGAACTGGCTATGTCTCCAGCTGGCTGGCCTCAGCAAGCCAGGAGCAGTGCCTTGAAATACGGCATTGGACTCTTTAATCCATGCTATTTCTCTACAAATCAGAGGCTCCTGTTTGCTTTCTGACTATGCTTTTGGCTTTGCTTCTCTCCAGTTTTGGGAGTCAACCGTTCAAAGCCTAAACATGACATACACATCTAGTTGCAATGAACCAAAACCGGCTTCAGCAGTTTGATAATTGTGGCTCACATTAAACCACCATCTACGCTATTTTTAGCTTAAAGTGAAGATTATATGGTGAAGTCTATTATTTTAGGTTTATCTCCAGGGACATCATTATTTATAGCAAAACTACATTTAACATAATTTTTAGACTCAGAAGTTCATAGTAATTCTGGTTTTTAAACCTTTGTGGGTTTAAATGAACACAGCAGAAACATTAACATGAAGCACATTTTGTTTGATGCACGCAGGAATAATTTAACAGTCTATTAGTAACTCTAACTTCAAAACACTAAAGAGTGAAATTCCTGCTCCACTGAAGTGAATGGGAGTTTTGCCATTGACTTCAATGGAGCCTGGATTTCACTCCAAATATTTTACCCATGTTGTTTCTACACACAGAGAAAAATCTTCACATGCTAGAAAGAAAGTTCCAGCAGTATTCCTCCAATGCAAATAAGTCCATCTAAAGTTCATATTCCTAAAAGTCAGGAAAGGAAGAACTAAGTACCATGAAGCAAGGTATGTAACTTGCTGGAAATCTTCCAGAGGAAAGTTTTCTTGCCCAAAAATGCCAGCATCCGGCAATCGTGTTAACTTTTCTAATGGAAACAAGGCAGGTTTCCAAGGTTTCTTTCAGCTTGCCTGCCCTGTGACTGCCACAGTGCTGAGACTCAAAGTTGGGTCCTTCAGGTTTCTGCTCTGTCAGGGCTCACGTGTGATGGGACTTGGGAGCACTCCCATTCTGGCAGCTTCCTGAACAGCCTCCTGGTCAGCACGTCAGCGGTTCCACTTGAAAAAGTGAAAACAAACCATCTTCCTGACTTTCCAAAGTGTTTTCATCTCCCTTATTTTATCTCTTCCACAAAAAACTAGCGTTCAGTCTTGAGTTCCTTAAGATTAATGCCTTAGCTTTCTGATTAACTTCATTTATTCTCTGTTAAATTTGTTGAATGTGGGACTTTTTTTTTATTGGCAAACAACAAGGGCAACAGTTACTAATTACTACATTCCTGTCCTTTATTTTAAACCTGACCTCATGAAAAATGTCTGCCTAGGAGAAATGCTGATGCTAACATTCATTACTCAGCTTTGCAGGGGTGTTTGAGGCAGACAGAACGTATTCTCTGTAAAGACTAAGTCAGAACTCACATCTCAGAGTTATTTACAGGCTTCTTCTGAAATCCATTCTGTTCTTGCATGTGTGGAAATTGACGCCTTTCTGAATCATTCCTGATTTCTTAAAAGAAATTCTTTAAATTAAAGTCGTAAGCATAAAGGAATTGAGCCTGAGCTATTGGTATAAAGCAAAGGAGCTCTGCTAAGTCAAAAGAACCATGCCAGTTAATATTAACTTGGGATCTGGCCTCAAGGTACATAGGCAACCTCTACTGGCCTCTCTCTGATGAGTTTCTGGTAGAATGAAACCAGTAACACCTTTGGAGCCTGTTTTAATTGGCAGTGTAGAACTTTTCCCAGCATCTACTTTACCTTACAATGACTCACTTGAGGAAAGGATTAAATGACCTGCAGGTCTAAGGCATACCCTAGCATGCTAACACATTCTTTTCTGAAGTTCAAGGGTCTCCAGCTACATCAAAGGGATTGGTTTTTCCTAAACACATAGTAAATGTAATGCCATGCTGATTCTTTTCACTAATGAATAGTCCCCTTCCTTTTAACAGAAATAAATCGGACAGAGCATTATGTGTTTGTACTAAACAGCAGCGCAAGCGCTGATGCAGTACTTTGCATTTTCTTTGTGATCATCTAATCTTACCTGCTATTCAGCAGTTCACATGGAATTAGAAGCAGATAATCAGTCTCTTGAAATATTCTGCCATGGGAAGGAGGTCTGTTCTTACATGAACAGATCTTGAAACAAGAGCTGATAAGAATGGCTCTGAGATTAGAAGCATGAATGTCAAAATGGCACTACATTGCCCTGCAAACCCACTGCCCTCTGTGCTCTCCGAGTCAGAACAATGCATTTCATCAGGAAGAGTAAACACATGCTGCACATTATCCTTCACACAGCAGAGCCATTACAGATGAGCAGGACTCAGTTTCCCTTTGCGCTGTTACTATCACAGTCACTAGCTCCATTCTAAGCACAGGGTAAATTTCAGCCTTTGGTTCATCACATTCTCCTCCTGAAGACAATGAGATTCCACAAAGGCAAACGAGAACTTCTTAAACTGTCAGCTCTTAAACCCATTTCATTTTATATTTATTCAGAGTAAGCACAACAGGACACTGGTTTCACACTCCAGCTTCTTTTCTAATATAAATAATGCATTGGTTATCAGTCAAAGACACTAAGGCGTCACCGAGGGAGTCCTGCAGCATATTTATTGTTACTCATCATATGTGAATCCAGAAACAAGCTGACTGACCAGCCTGAGCTCTGACCGTTAACATAATCACAGCAAGGCAAATTTTATCAGGAGTCACAGGGAGGCAGCGACATCAGATCTCTTTGATGCTGTTTTTTTTGTAGAACCAACTCCTTAAAGTAGCATTGCTATGAATAAAAAATAGTATGCAGTCCCTCAAAGCCCTGGCCTCTCTGAAGTCTGTGCTTCTTTCCAGGACACTATTCTCTGTCAGAGTCTACACAGCAATCACAACTGGGTCAGGATGCCAGAATTACACTCCAGGCCTGAGCCAGCCAATTTCTTGTGTAACCCTTTTTAGCTAAATGCAATTAACAGCCATTTGTTTTCCCACAGCAATGCCAAATAAATGCACTTGCTTTGTTTGTTTGGTCATTAACGGAGCTTCTCCTCTAAACAGTTAATGTAACTAAACTGCTCTGTTTATCCTTGGTTCATTTTCCAATGTTTCCTGTTATTCTTAAAAAGCCTGAGCCAAAGTGCACCAAAGCCTGTGGTTAAGTCTCCTACTGCCTTCAATGCACTGTCCGTTGCACCTCCAAGTTCTTAAGGTCATGTATACAAACCTTCATAGAACCACTAGGACTCTCAATAGGTTTCCTATTAAAAGCCCCAGATCTGAGTTATAAGGCCAAAGAGTGGGGAAAACTGATTTAGGAGATGCTTTAAATTTTTTCAACAGCTGTAACAGACCACTTGAGAAATCCCCAGGATTACCATCATAAACTCCTCTCTGGTGGGGAGAGATGATGAAGTAGGGGCAAGAGGCAAGTTTGATACAAAATACTATCAGCAATAAAAGAAGAGCTTTTCTCCATAAAAAGGCAAAAAGAGGGTAGGAAGTGAAAGAAAGAATTATGAATAAGAGAAACCTGAAAAAAAACACATCCAGAAGTGGAAACGCCATGAGCTTCTACAACCCCTCTGTTTCAAATGAGCACTTCAGCTAGCTGTTAATGAGAGCTTCTCCACAGCCTCCCTGTGAAAGCCAGACCACTCCACTGGACTGCAAATAATTGATGGTGAGTCAAATGCTGGTTCACTTTAGAAATGAGTGACACG